GGAAATAACTAAGTCAAATTAATAAAACTGCACATTCTCTTAGGAATATATTCATATTTGAAACTTAAAACTTTCTACCATTCCTAAAGAACTGCTGGTGTGAAAATTGCATCCTGTTAGGATGATTTTCACCACTAAAAAAATGCATTTTCTGCTGTTGAACCTTGTTGCCTGCTCAGGTCTGGTGGTGCCTCCTAATTCTTAGATGGTGGAAACCCCCCTCACTCCTGGCATTCCCTATTCACCTCCTCCACAATATTCAGCAACCTGGTCTAGTGGAAGGGACACCTTCCAGGTTGCTCCAAGCCCCATCCAACCTGGCCTTGGACACTTCCAGGGACCCAGGGACAGCCACAGCTTCTCTGGGCAACCTGTGCCAGGGCCTCCCCACCCTCACAGGGAACAACCTCTTCCCAATATCCCACCTAAATCTCTCATCTTTTAGTTTAAAACCATTCACCATTATGGGGGATAACATCCTGAACAAACACAGGACAATCCAAATAAGTCTCTGCCAGGACTGTAAGAAAACCTGACACTGATGCTCATAACAACCACAGCACTGAACCTGAATGAAGATGTTTGTGATAAGCTTTCATAAATGGTGATTCTTTCTACTCCTTATGGAGCTCTTAAAATCACTAATTTGTAATATTTGAGTGAACACTTGCTGATTTCTATTCTTGGATCAGAGCGATTCTTAATTCAGATGTCCCACAGTTTGACAGCTGATCTGCATAATATTGTGAGTACAGAGCATAACTCATCTCCAGACAGGGAAATAAACCTTCAGCACCTCATTTTTCTGTGTGCTGCAACACAGGGTTCTGAGAAATGCCTGAGTGCCAGTTCTGACCTGTAGGGCTCAGAACACTGGGGTATAAAACAGCTCATTCTCCTCACTTTCCTCAGGGTTCACCAAAGCCCAGCGAGAGCTTTTAACCCTTAAGCTGTTTAGACATCAGGGAGCCTGAGGAATGGGATTTATCCAGCCTTGAGGAACAGCCCAGGAAGGACATGGAGCTGCTGGAGCCAGTCCAGAGGAGGCCCCAAGAGGATCCGAGGGCTGGAGCAGCTCTGCTGGGAGGAAAGGTTGGGAGAGTTGGGATTGTTCAGCCTGGAGAGGAGAAGCTTTGGGGTGACCTGATTGTGGCCTTCCAGGGCCTGAAGGGGATGAAAAGAAACATGGAGTGAGACTATTTCCAAGGGCCTGGAGTGCCAGGATAGGGGAGAATGGCTTCCCACTGCCAGAGGGCAGGTTTGGATTAGATATTGGAGAGGAATTGTTCCCTGGGAGGGTGGGGAGGCCCTGGCACAGGTTGCCCAGAGAAGCTGTGGCTGCCCCTGGATCCCTGGAAGTGTCCAAGGCCAGGTTGGACGGGGCTTGGAGCAACCTGGGCTAGTGGGAGGTGTCCCTGCCCATGGCAGGGGGTGGAACGAGATGGGTTTTAAGGTCCCTTCCAACCCAAACCATTCCGTGATTCTGTGATTTTGTAGCTTAAATTAAGAAACCCTTTCTGAGGGCAGAACGTGAAGGAAAGGTTTCCCTTCCTCCCCATCTCACTCTGGTCAATATTAAAAGAATGAGCTGGGATTCCTGGAGCGTGGGGACGGCGGCTCAGGGACAAAGGGGGCTGTGCTGGCTTCTGTCACCCAAGGACCTGGCTCTGAGTGCTCACACACGATCATCACTCTGCCACAGAGCTGGGAAACAAAGCCAGGGAGAAGGAGGAGCGAGAAGGAGCTCCAGGTCTGCTGATTTTGACAGTTATACAAGAGAATTCCCTGCAAGGGTCCAAGGCCAGGCTGGAGCAACCTGGGATGGTGGAAGGTGTTGGGGTTGGAACTGGACTGGACAAGTTTTAAGGTCCCTTCCAACCCAAACCATTCCGGGATTCTGGGATTTCTTTTGCACGAGATGGAAGACCAGGAAATAAATCCTCCTCCCAGCAGCACCTGTGAGCAAATGAAGCTGCGCAGAGTCACAGATGCTCTGAAGTCTTGGAAATTTTCAGCTCAGGGGGGTTCTCCGAAAAAGGCCTGGTTTTTCCAAGAAGGAAAACAATGTACTGGAGATAGCTGAGAAATGATAACAAGAGGGAGCTGCTGAGGGAAAGCAGAAAATAAACTTCCCTTCTTTTCATTCATCATGCTCAGGTCCAGTTGTTCCCTCCAGATGAACATTAACCAGGACATCTCCTTCCCTCCTTATCTTGTACCGAGACTGGGAACAAACATATTCCTTGGTTTAAAAGAAAAAATCTTCCAAGGATTTAGTTCTGTCCAAATTTTAACACAGGAAACCAGTGTTTAAAGGATATCTTCGGAGATAGTTGACATTTTAGGGCATGTTGACCACTTGGCTCTCATAAAAGTCTGTACTGGGACCTCACAGTTGGGGTTTTTTTCTCAGCTCCTCTGGAGTAACCCCCTGGATTACTACAACCCCCCCAAGGATCACTGGAAAACTAAATTTCAGTGGTAATATCAGTTTTCCATCTTCTCAAATCGTAAAATCCTAGAATGGTTTGGGGTGGAAGAAACCTTCAAGCTCATCTCATTCCAACCCCCTGCCACGGGGGTTTAGGGGCAAAAAAATCACTCCCCAGTCCTCAGGAATACGTTCTGCAGGGATGCCTGGAGTGAAATTCCTGAGTTATTCACGATTTTCAATGGACACAACCCTGAGTAACCTGCTGGACCAAAAGACCCACCGTGCTCCCTTCCAGCCTGACCCATCCTGGGATCCTGAAGTCAGCAGGACTTCTCCAGAGACGGTTTTTCACTTCCCACTGAAGAACTTTCGTTAATATTATAACTTGGCTTCACTTTTCCAACGGGAACAACTGCCACAAGAGAGCATGGCAAAAGAACACACTGTCTTAGGATGAAAACCCCGGGGGGAAAAGAACAATTTAAGCAAGATTTCACATAATTAGGAACAAAGACCTCTTAAAAACTCCTGGACCTTTCCAACCTCCCCCAAAAGTAACAAGAGGAAAGAGGTGGAAGCAGGTGAAGAACACAACACAAGACACAACTAACTTTCAGAAACCTGTGAAGTTCCACATCAGTGACAGAAAAAAAAAGCCCCACAATCCAGCCAGAAAATGACTTCAAGTTACCTCCTACCCCAAGATAAGGGTTTATATCATTTCAGGCTTGATAAACAGTCCCTTGTGGATCTCTGCTGGAAGGCTGGGACTGCAGAACTACAACAGGATTATTGCTTTTCCAGATCTGCCTCATCTCAAACCTCAGCTGCTGCTTTTATTTCTAACATGAGAAAGCCTACCCAGTGTTATTTCATGTTCTGGTTGCCTCACAAAATAGCTGTTTCCAGTCAGAACCGAGAGGTTATGAAAATATTTGGCACAGGATGGCAAACATCTTATTTTTATTAGTTTTTCCATCTTTAATTCCTACGTATTCTGATTGCATTTAATTAGCATCTGTGCCTGGATGTGCTGGGAACAGCAGCTGCTGGGATACACTGTAATTTCCATTATTTTAGATAAACACAGTGCAAACATTGATCTGACATTTTGATTTCTTTCCTAAAATTCTCATTTTCCCCCCAAACTCATCTGCCAGGAAGCTTGAGATCGGGACCCACATATCAAAAAGCAGAAGGAAAAAAAAATAAATCAGAAAACCTTGCAAAACAGTGCAATGAAAAAACCTCCCCACCTCCCTCGTTTGACTTTTTTTTTTTTTTCATTTATCCTCAGATTTCTCCCTGTCAAGTTTCTGGGCTGCAGAGAGCCTTGGCCACACAAATCCATGGGAGTTTTTCCCCCACTGACAGAAGGAGATGAACCTTCCAGCCACAGAGACCTCACGTGTCCAAGGACTACAAGTCCCTTTCCTCCTCAGTTTTCCTGTTGTCACCCTCTCATTTTCCAGCACAGATAAGAAAAAAAAAACAACCACCAACAGATCTTATAAGGTAGAAATGCCCCAACTTTCCAGGTTAAACCAGAAGCAGGAGGAAGTGTCCAAGGCCAGGCTGGGCTGGGCTTGGAGCAACCTGGGACAACTCTTTGGGATGTGCTCCTACAGTAAATGCTGCAGCATTCCAGGCAAGAGCCAGGAGTTGGACTGGAGGATCCTTGCAGGTCCCTTCCAACCCAGGATATTCTGTAATTCCCTAATTCCAGCACACAGCCTTTTTCCCCTTCCCCAAACTGGATATTTTGAGCTCTCTCCATACAACCAAGAGCAGCAGGAAAGGCCACGGAGCTCCCGTGGTTTGGTTATTTTTGTAGATGAGCTTTCAAAGCCAACAAGGAATCCAAAGCAAAATGGAGCCCTAAAAAAAGGGAACGTTTTCCCTTTAAAGGTCCTTTAATAACAGTTTGGATTGCTAAACACTGCAGTCTTTATCTGCATACACAGACTAAATTACAGAGCCGTGTGTTTTAAGGGGCAGAACCAAAGGTCAGAATCCAGGCACTCTCATGTCCACTGTTATGATGAAAAGTCCTTTTATTTTACATTTCAGTTGTGGGAGTCTCAATAAAAGGGAGCTGTGGAGCAGTGGGGGGGTGACAAGAAAGGCGTTTGTGCCTCCCTTTGGAAGTGCTGTTAATAAAATGAACGAGGCTTTATCTCACCAATTTATTTTGTAAATAAAACCCCCTTCACAACAAAGCAGCCTCTGCACAACTGCTGAGAAATACAAAAATAAATGGCACATCAGCTATGATCTTATGTGGGGGAAAAAAACACACTATAATTATGTTTGCCACGCAGCAGGGAGAGTTTCTGAAGAGGTTTCACCTGAGCATTGTCTTCCCTGAAGAGGGGGAGGTGGATATTTGGCTGCCTGTGGATGAGCCAGGTTGTGGGAAGGCATTTCCAGAGCAATTTCTCCCTTTGATAAACTCTGAATGCTCCTCCCCGGCAATGAAGGCTTTGAGCTCTTGCTAAGGCTGCCCCAGCTTTGTTCAGTGCTACACTGAGAGAGCCCTGAGATCCAGAGGAGCTCAGATAATGATGGCACAGGCGGTAAAATCGCTGGGAATCTGAGCAGATCAAGCCGGGCACTCATCCTGAAAATTAAAGTATTCCCAGGTCATCTCCATGCTAAAACTTCCACAGCACTGCTGAAGAACCTGCCAGCAGATCCCTCTCTTATCCAAACCTACCTGGGAAGCTGTGCTGACAGCAGGGCTGGGATGAGGATGGAGCCACAAGGCTGGGCTATTCGGGGGATTCAGAGTTGTACAAAGGCATTATACACCTCACACACCCCACAGTCCCTCTTTCCACTGCTCAGCCTGGCAGGACCTCGAGAAACCTTCAGTTGAAGTTATATTTGATAGGCTTGAAGTCATGAGGTGCCAGCTCTGAGTGCATTTCTTCTCCTCCCTACCCAGAAGTGGCTCAGACTAAGCAGGGGCTCGGTTTTCCTTGCTGAAAAGGAATTATTTCATCCAAGAATATCCTTAGAACACACAGACATCCTCATGGCATTCCTAACATAAACTGTGTAGGGCGTGGGGCCGTGTTCACTCGGGTTTTCTCTGCAAAGAGGTCACGTGCAGGACCAGCACAGGTTGTTTGCTGAGATTTACACAGGATTTCTTTCCCAAATCCCACCTCAGGTGACAGTGAATGTTCCCACTGTCATCTTTTCCCCTGGAAATGCTGGTTTGCCCCGACTCAGCAATCTTTATGAATAAAGTCTGTCAGTCCACAAGAGTCTGTACAGAAAATATCTACCAGCCTGCAGTTTGGATGGAGTTATTTTAAGAGGAAGAGCCTGAATTTATCCCCTAACATACTGCAGAGCAGCACTACCTGCCTTGTTTATACACCCCTAATGCTCTTAGTGCATTTAAAAGGGCTGAGATTTAGCTCTGCAGCTTTAAAAATAACTGCTTTATACAGAATATCAAACTGTGTCTGTCACGAGCACAGTCATCATCCTTTCATATCCCATTTCATCATCCTTTCATATCCCACTTCATCTCATGAACACGCTATGAAATAAGTACAAGAAACGTTTAATTCTCCATCACTAATAGGAGTAAATAATACTCTTGGAAGAGTTAATTATTAAGACACTGTAAAATTAGAATAACAAGCTGATAACAGTGGAAAATTGGCTTTTTATTGCCCTGGATATGGCAGGGGAGCTCAGTTTCTCTCACACAGAGCTCTAATGCTGACGCAGTAAATCAGCACAGCACCTGAATATTCAATTTATCCTAGAGACTGCCATAAACAGGTTTCAGGATGGGGAAAATTTGGAAAAGTACAGAAACAAACAGCTGTAAATATAGAAGCAAACAGCAGTTCACACAGGCTGGGCCTCACTGCTGCAAACCCAAACCTCCCCAGTGCTGCAGCCACACAGAGAAGTCCTCACTTCACCTACTCATGGAAAAAATGCTTAGCTAGAAATAACTCGTGGGCTTTGATGACAAATACACAGTTTTTTTACTTCTAGAACAAAAAGAAAGGGGGAGAAAAATCAAATTTTAGTCTGAATCTATGAACTCCAAAAGGAAGCAGCTGGAATAGCACCCAATTTCTGTAAGGGATAGTGAAGGAATCTCCAAGGATTATTAAACAGGTTTCTGCTCCAGCTTTAGAGTGGCAGATTTTGAAACTTTCAGAGTTTTGGGAAAAGAAAGACTCCAGTGGGAAACCTGAAAGGCTGCAGGATTCCCAAGAGGAGCAGTACCTCGGACTACAGGAAAACCCCTCACCTGGCTCCTGCCCACCTCTACAACAGCAGGATGAAGATTAAATCAAAGAAAAAAGAGATGAAAAAATTAACCAGAGGAATGTGAAGCAGAAGCTGCTGCCACGGGACATTCTCCCAAATCCAGTGGAAAGTCCCAGGAAAAGCAGGTTCTTCAGAGGCCAGAGATTTGTTCTCAGGCTCTGCAGAAAACCCCACTGTGCCATAAATGTCTAATTGATGCCTTCCCACACAGTGCTCCTGGTGGACACCGAGAAAATGCTCCCCAGCCCCAAGAGCCACCCAACACCTGTGCCAGGAGATGCTATTTTTGGATGTCTGCTCGGGAAAGCAGATCCAAATCCCTGGAGAAGAGGTTTGGAGGCTCAGATCGGGCCCAAGACACTTGTTCTGAAAGGCAGAATCAGTCCTGGAAGCAGAACTGCCTTGACTGCGTTGGGAAAGCCCTGCCTGCAATGGATGTAGCTGTTCTTGCTTCCCTGAGTGTCCTTGGGAGAGGCAGAAAGGTGGGAAGCAGCTGCATTATCAGGAAAGATATTTGGAAAGATCAAAACTGTCTGATCCTACACCACAGAGGCAGGAACTGGTCTGAAGGATCACTAATCTGCAGGAAGTCTAGCAATTTATTTGGGCACAGAGGACAAAACAGACCGTGCAGAGGCAAATCCCCCCCTGCATGGGCTCAGCTCCATCTGGTCAGGTATGATCCCAGAGCATGGCATTGATCCCAAACCCCCTGGCACAGCTCAGCCAGCCTGGCTGGACTGAACTGACTGAACTGAAACTGCATATTCACACTTCCCCCAGAGACTGAAGGGATTAGTAACAGACTGAAGAGTTTATAAAGGTGGTTCCAGCCAACTTTTCCAGCGTCTTTTCACCGAAGTCGGGAGGGAAAAAAAAAAAAAACCAAAACAAAACAAAAAGAAAACCCCAAACTCCTCCATGTGGTTTTCTTTGAGATGAATGATGATCACTGCCAGTGCTGGTGAATCCCAGCAAAGACAATGTCATGTGTTTGGACTTTGCAAGATTGTGAAGGACCTCTTGTAAGGGCATTTATTCCCCATATCCCATCCAACCCTGCCCCTCTGGCAGTGGGAAGCCATTCCTCCTTGTCCTGCCACTCCAGGCCCTTGGAAATAGTCTCTCTCCATGTTTCTTTTCATCCCCTTCAGGCCCTGGAAGGCCACAGTTGGGTCACCCCAAAGCTTCTCCTCTCCAGGCTGAACAATCCCAGCTCTCCCAGCCTTTCCTCCCAGCAGAGCTGCTCCAGCCCTCTGATCATTAAGGCTGCTTAAATCCCAAACCAGGCCTCTGTTCTCCACTTCTCTTTCATTGCAAGTGTCAGTCCTACTAATCCTTTCCCTGAGAGGAGAAGGGACTGACTCAGGAGGCCCTGCAAGAGCAATTAGTCCTATTAAATCAGATCCTGATGAGATCAGTCCATAAAGCGAGGGCTCAGAGGGGGAATGACACAAAGACTCCCAGAGGAGGATTTCACCCCTCTGAGACCACGTGGGAGGTCTGCTACAGCCTCCTGCACTTCTCTCTGTACTTCAAACAGCTCCAGAGACTTTGTTTGTCTTCCCTTATCAACACCCAGTTTGATGTCCTGGCAAAGCCGGCGGTTTCTAGGAATAGGTTCCTTCCCAAGACATCTCTGACTCCCAAAAACCCACATTCCCATGGCAAGTCACACAGTTAAAATGCTTCATTCCTCTCGAGAAGCTACCAAGAAATGCAGCAACAGACAAAGTCTCTTTTAGAAACAAAAGGCAAATCCTCACGGCTGAGGACGAAAATAAAACAAAATTTGAGAGGAGAGGAAAACTACTAAAAACAAGGGCTGGGGAAGTGTAGGCTGCTTCTCAGCACGGTTCCTGAAAAGCTGCTGCTGCTTCTTCCTTTTCCCTGCCTACAGAAGCATCTTTCTCTTCCCTCAGGTTCTGGAGCTGTGGTGCAGAGGTGCACGAGGACAGGCGGGGAGGATGTCACAGCACCCGAACCACGAGTGACAGAGGGGTTAATCCGAGGATTTAAACCTTCCTTTTCCCCCCCTGTCTCGCTGCATTACTTCTCCCATACTTTATGAAAACAGCAACAACCATAAAAGGAGGAGCCTTAACACCTATTAATATAGTTTCTAAAAAAAAAAAATGTCTGTTTGTCACGGTGTGACTGTTACTCACATGAGAGCCCAAAACTTGTACCTTGTCACCTGATTTATGCACAGCCCCGCTGATGGATTTCTCCCCTCCTAATGCAGACATCAAATGTGACACGCTGCAGCTGACAGGTTCAGCCAGAGCAGGAGCACAGGGGGGAAACATTTTGGTTTCAGATGTGGGATATCACATTTATCCTCATTAGTGTTGAGGAGAGCACCCACACACAGCTCAAACCTGTCACCGCGGCGCGGATCGAAGATGTGCCTCCCTGAGAGACACCTCGCCAGCCCTGCACATTTTTAAAGTGCTTGCAGGGAATTTTAGAGATGTTATGGCCAAAGGCAGGATGCAAACCTGCAAAACTACAATTTGCAAAGTGTTTAGGGATTTTTTTCCCCTTAAAAAAAAAAAAAAAACCAACCTGGAGGTGGTGGACTCATTTTAGAGGCAGAATATGATTAACCAGAGTGAGAACCTTTTTTGGCTCTAAAAACCCTTCAGTTTTAAGACAAACAATCTGTTGAGCCACTCTTGGAGCAGCAAACTTTCTCACAGCAGAGGGGATATCTCTGACATGTTTATTTTACTCTTTTCCCTCCCAGTCTCCTCAGCCTGGGAGAACTCTCCTGTTGAAGGTGCTCACAGCATCAATGTTTAATGCTTCCCCTGCTATCACAAATACATTCATTTCCACCTTCAGTGCACAGCTGTCAGTTATTTTTTTTGTGTGTTGCCCACCTCTCTTTACCCAATTCAGTTAATACTCAAAAGTTGTGGGGGTTTCTTAGTGAACATGAGGGGATTGGGGGTTGTTCCCTACCTTGAAACACAGCAGAACCTGAAGGAATAACAGTTCCTACTTTGGTATTTCATGTAAATCCTTCTCTCCAAGTTCATGAGAGCCACCCAAGACAAATGGACATGTGCTTTTTGCCTCAAGAGCCCATTAAAACCAGCTCCCTTCCCATGGGGCTCCAGGGAAAACCTTGGTGGGGAACAGAAACACTGCTTGGGATCACCCCAATCCCACAGCTCTCCATGTCCTCTGTCCTGGGAAGTGTCTCCCAGGCCCAGGACACACTCTGTGTTCCTACTGAATGATCACACAGACCCCAGCTGGCTGCTGAGGGACACACAAAGATTCAAAATGATGTAAAGAGGTGTCCCTGCCCACAGCAGTTTTAAGGTCCCTTCCAACCCAAACCATTCTGTGGTTAAAGCCTCATCGAGCTCTGCTGAAGAAGAAGGAATCTGAGGTCAACACTCAGCATCGTTTTAAGATTCACTGAGCTCAGCAAACGGGTTTTAAGATTCATGGTGGAGAAGCAGAACACTCAAGGATCATCACTTGAGAGGTCTCATCAGGACCAGCAGGGTCCTCGTGTCTGCAGAGGAGAAAATCAGACCCGATGGTGCTGCTGCTTCCCCGGGACACACGAGAGCCCAGCAATGAACAGCAAACGTGATGGATGCCCCCAAATCCATCTCACTTAAATTATCATATAAAATCAGGCCAAGCAAACAGCCCCATTGCACAGCTCAGACTTTTGGTAAGACACTCCGTCCAAACGCTGAATCATAAATTACAAACAAGCACAAGAGTGTTGGCCACCAAATCATCTCCAGGACTAATTTTTTATCCGCCTTAATCATGGCCTGAAGGTCAAGAAAGGAAAGAATTAGTGGAAGGAAAACTGTGTTTATTTGGGTTTTGTTTTTTTTTTGAGAAATACCTCTCAGTAGCCCCCAAGATGGGTTTGTCCGGTAGAGGTTTGTAAAGAAGAGTTTATATTTGGGTGCAGTGTGTTTGTAATTGAGAGATGACACAGAAGAGTTTATATTTGGGTGTAGCGTGTTCGTAATTGAGAGATGACACAGAATAGTTTATATTTGGGTGTAGTGTGTTTGTAACTGAGAGATGACACAGAATGATAAGGCAAAATGAGCTCCTGAGCCCCTTCTCAGAACCACACTCCAGCCCATTCGATACAGTCTTCTTCCATTTCCATGACTTCACCACCACTCATTGCATTATGTCTAAACATAGGCCATCAACTCCTCATAATTCTGTTTGCAAGGCATTATGCATATTTAAGGAGCTATCTAAATAACCTTAAATTAAGTTACAAGGCCAAGCAAAGACTGGGGGAGAGCCAAGTCGTGCCCTCACCCACAGGGCTGCCAGAACAAGCTCCAGTGCCCAACAGGCACAGAAGTTTTAGCACACGTTTGTTGTACCTTCATCATCAGATGGCCAGCTGATAAATAATCATAATAAATGTAATCAAATCTGATAAATAATAGAGTTATCTGAATACCAAGCCCTGTTCAATACTGCAAACCATGGTGGACACAGTTCTGCCCATAAATCCCCCCCCAAAAATCCCCTCCAAGGAATGGGAGGAGGCTGAGCACGTTTTCACTAGGAAAAAATGCTATTTAAAGGCAGGGGTTTATATTATCCACAGGACAGATTCTGCACCTCCAAGTACTCAAACAAAGGATTGAGAAGTGTAAATCTTTCCACATAATGCTGGGAGCAGAAACACTTTGGCAACACCCCCCCCAACACTTCACTGAAACACCACCTGAACGTGCAACATTTCAAACTGTGAAAAGCCAAAGGAATTAAACCTGTGCCTTGAGAAAGGACTTAACCTTAAAAGGACAGAAGATTAAAGTTGTTTTGGGAAACTAGTGAAGAGCATTTGCAGCTATACAGCCTCGAGAATTTGGCAGGAAACCTTGTTTAGGGGATGGCTTACTGCCTTGGAAATAGTTTTGTTTCAAAGAACAATTTCAGGCATTAATGTACACATGGGCAAGCAAGAAACCTCCACTCCCCTCAGGTGTTACCTGGCCAAAATGTTTTTGAGCCTACCAGACAGTTCTGGAGAGGAGCAAGAAGAATTTGATTATCATCTATCCATTTGCATGGTATCAAATCCCACCAGGAATTTGCTGATTGTGTTCTCTGAATGACAAACAGGGACATTTCCCTCAAAACTCACTCTGAGGAGAGGGATGCTGGATGGACCAAGCTTAGTAACTCTTACAGCAGACGTGCACTTCCTGACAAATCAAAAACCCAGACATACTTAAAATCTGCTCAATTTGCCACGTGAAGAGCGAGGAAACTTGGAAAGGAGGAGAAGATACCAAATGCAAAGAGCTGCCATTTTGGAGAAGAGCAGCACTGGCAACACTGATCCCCTGGGAAGGTTTTCAGAACCCTGAATATCCACCGCTCTCGTGTCCCACCCGGAAAACAAACCCCTGCCACAACACACACTGGGACAAATCAGATGTGCTAAACTGCAGCTGCTACACTTATTTTGTGCCCAGGAGGGGAAAATACCATTTCCTATTATCCCAAGCATGGCTGCTGCTGAGAGCCCCATGTGCTCTGCCAGCATTCATAGCCCTGCCCTCCCAATGCCCTACAAGGAGTGGGCTGTGACCATATTCTCCTTGTTTTAACAGGCTTTTCCCATTTCCAGAACACCAATCCTTCTGTTGAGTCCCTAATTTATACAGTATTGTCTCAAAGCCAAAGAACTATATTTAGTGGAGGTTTATTCCGAGGGATCTCAGTGCAAGGTTAACAGCTTTCACCTCCTTTCTTTATATAGGGAGGCGCACGAATCCAGGCAGAAGTTTTCCAGGCAGAAGTAATCCACACAATTTTTCAACCACCATATTTAGACAACGCCTTCAACCTTTTCCTCCGAAATTATTTTTCCCACGAAACAACGTTTTTGTCCCTGCCCGTGTTAAAATAAAAGGGAATTTCAACCCTACCTTCCATGACGTACACCAGGGAACCCACGTCTCCCTCCTTGATGATGCAGCTGTCTTTGCCATACTCCACGGGGTACATACAATCCACAATCTCCTGGATCTGGGACAGTTCCAGGTTCTTCATGAAGTCATTGTCAAGGATTGCTTCCTTTATCAGCTCCTTGGACCTGTGGCACAAAGAGAAAGCCAAGATTTTATCCACCAGCCCAGCTCATTTATAGTGACCTTCAGCACAATCACACAGTGCCCCAGTGAATATTTCCTCGGGGGAAAAAATTCAACATTTTCCCTAAAAAGGTGCAGAGAAGTAAAAAAAAAAAATATTACAGAAACATTAGCTTGTAATTATTTGTTGTAATCAAGTTTTAGATACATCAGGTATCGAAATAAAAACAGATTCCACGCAGTTGCAAGATCCTCTTTTAGCTACAAGTTTCATGTCTGTGTAACACCAAAGAATAACGTGGTTACTTGGAATATCTCCCATACACAGAACTGAAAGGAAACACAAACACAAAATTAATGGATTTATGACTGAGTTTATTATATTTTCTATTCCTTACACAAACTGGAGCACACCAAAGTGCGCTGCTGCGCTGATTCTCGGAGCGTTAATCTAAGGGTGTTCTAATCACTCCAGGAGGCAGCCCTGGTACAGGAATAACACCACCTTTAATTCACTTCTTTGCTGACTACATGGAAAATTCCGAAGTCCTATCAGCGTGCACAGAACTCCTCGTGCAGTTCTGGCTCGGCACAGGAGCGGGTTGGAAGTTTGGAGCCCTCAGTGGCCACTTTGCCAAGCTGGGAAAGGAAGGAGCTGTTCCTGAGGACACAGACGCTGAACTCCCCGTTCCCCTGCTCTCTGGGAGCCCACCTGGAACGGGCACACATGGCCCAACCTGCTCACTCCAGAAATGCCTCTGCCCATGTCCTCTCATGAGGGAAAATGTGCAACAGAACCACTGACGCGTTTTTCCTGATTTTCCCCAGAATCTTCCCATTTCTACAATTAAAGTGCTACTACACGGTGAGTCACTGCAGTGAACCTTCCAGTCCTCCCTTCAGACTGCCAAGCTCGACACCATCCAGCGTTCATGCAAATGAACAGCTCAGAATGTGAAATCTCGGTCTAGACCAACAGCAAAGCCCCCAGAACACCCACGGCCCTTCACTTGTCACCCTGCAGCTCCCCTTCTGTGGGCTGAGTGATCTGCTGGTGTGACACAGCCCAGGCACACAGCAGCTCCCTGCAGAGCTGGTGCATTCAGGAGTGCTTTATCTTCTGGAAACACGAGCACAAAGAGAGGCTTTCAAAGCAAGGCACGCTAATGGAGTGCATCTTCTTGACAAGGAGCCAAATGAAGATCTCAGGAGACCAAACCCAGCCAAGCCTTGGAGATACCCTGCCTTTGCTGCAGCCCTTGTGCAGGACACCTCAGAGTTATCTGCAGCACGGGTCCGGCTCAGTAATGTTTGAGATGCTTTGGATAGTTTTGAGGTTCTTCCAGCAAAACATTCTGTTTGCCATCAGAGTCCATCAGGACTGACCAGGTGATGAAAAGGGACCAGAATTCCCAAGTCCTGTCTGCAGGACAACCCTGCTATAAAACCACTGTGCTCCTGAGAACGTTAGTTTGAATTTACACACCACCACTCCAATTCCTTCTGTGTGCAAATCAAACCCTTCATCTGTGCTATTTGTTCCCTTCAGCACAGTGAGAAGCTGGTAATTTGTAAGGCTGCCCAGATAACCTGACTTCCTACTCCCTCCTCCTGTGGAAGAGGTTCCCATGCTGTGCCTTGGCTTAGCACTGCTCTTTTGGTCTTAGCCACCCCTACAGGTCCCCCCAAATCCTGACAAAGACACTAATTATTAACGTTACACAACTGCCTGCCCAAGAAGCAAAGCATAATAAGGGCCTTGGCATCAGTCATACCAACTTGCATTGCAATTTCAGGCATTTACTTCATTCCAAGGCTCAAAATAAGGCTTTCTCCTTGATAAAATAAATCAGCCTTTCGAGTGGAGGGGCTGCAAGAACAGCCACAAAGGGTGGAGGGAATTCCTGGTTCAAGTCAGACCTCCCCTGTTGCCCTCAGCACAAAACAATGCTCTCCTTGTGGGAATCAGACCCGGCGCAGGATTTGAGAAGGAGCTGGGAAATTTGGTCTAAACCACGGCAAAGGAGCAGGAAAACCTGCTGGAAGCCAGTTGGACTCAATGATCTTAAAAGTCTTTTCCAACCTTTACGATTCTCTTTTGGGGAGAAGCAGCAGAACATACCCAATGGGAACAAACTTTGGGAATTCCTGGTGTTTTGACAGTGTGAGAGCTCACCTGAACCACCTGATTCACAGCCCCCAGCCTCCAACACGGACACATCAGGGAAGCTCAGAGGCCCACGAGCCATTCCAAGCCTTTTAACCACAGCACAAAATACATCCACTAAGAAATAAAACGCCCTGGCCGGGACATCAATGACAGAGTTTCATCTCTGCCACATCTAAACACCCACATAGAAGGGTCTGGATAAAAGCTCAGTCATCCTGAATGTAAGTGAAGTAGATGTTATTAGTTAAGGATTATTAGTTGAGACTTTGGCTACAAGGAGCATGAGGGAAAAGCACCCCCAGTTGCCTTGAAACAGTGGCGAGGAGGAGCAACCACCTTGAGACCCAACTGCTTATTTATGGGAGTGTTTCATGGAATCACAGAATGGTTTGGGATGGAAAGGGCCTTAAAGATCATCTCATTCCACACCCCCCCCACCATAGACTAAACCACACTCCACCGTTTGGCAGTTACAGCAGGAAATATCCCATCCATCTTTTCAAATAAAAGAAGGAAAAAGCTGAGTTTGACATATCTGAAAATGAGTCGATACTAAAAATACATTGTCATAGCTACTATAAGAGTTCCTCTATTGTTCACTGCGAGAGAATATTCATCACTCTAATAATTCAGAAAAATTATTCAGGCAGTGTCATTACCAGGCCCACACACTGGCCCATGCCAGGCCTTCAGCAGCTTCCACGTTATTTTATTCCATGGTTTTCTTCCAGTGCAGCTCACGGGTGCCATTTAACATAAAGTACCAAAGGAAAAAAAAATCTATTTATTTTTATGTTGAATCCCAGGATCACTGAGGTTGGAAAAGCCCTCCCAGCCCACGGAACCCCCTGTGCCCGATGCCCACCTTGTCCCCCAGCCCAGAGCACTGAGTGCCACGGCCAGGCCTTCCTGGGACACCTCCAGGGATGGGCACTCCAAACCTCCCTGGGCAGCCCCTGCCAAGGCCTCACCACCCTTTCCAGCAACAAATTCCTCCTCCTGGCCAACCTGAGCCTCCCCTGGCACAGCTGGAGGCCGTTCCCTCTCCTCCTGTCCCTTGTTCCCTGGCAGCAGAGCCCGACCCCCCCCCGGCTCCCCCCTCCTGTCAGGGGGTTGCAGAGCCAGAAGGTCCCCCCTGAGCCTCCTTTTCTCCAGGCTGAGCCCCCCCAGCTCCCTCAGCCCCTCCTGCTGCTCCAGCCCCTTCCCCAGCTCCGTTCCCTTCCCTGCACACGCTCCAGCCCTTCCGGGTCTCTCCTGTTGAGGGCCCAGCACTGGGCACAATTTAAACATATGAAACTCAGAGCGTGTAAATAAACTCATAGTTCACAATTATTCCATAAGAAATGCTTTTCTAGACCACAACATTCCTTAATCACCATCATCATTTCCAACCAGCATCTATCCCTGACGTGTGAATACAGAAATCTACCTAGTAAGACAAAATAAAAGGTATTTAAAGTGGTCAAAACCACACTCCTGCTAGGGCAAGTAAGTGGTTTAAACACAGCACAGCTGTTTCATTACCTCTTATTTTCAAACAGTATTTATTCTGCGTTTCCTGATTCCCGTTGCTAAAAGAAACAACCCACAAACAAAATCAAGTACAATATTTGTGAAGGACCAGGACTGTTTCCAAACGAGCCAGTTCAAAGCAGGAGGTAATTTCATGAATATTTACTTAGTGCTGAAGCGACGGTCTCCTAATGCAGAGGGTCACTCGGGGTAGGAAGCAGTTATTGCCATCTTTCCTCTCCAGAGGAAGGAGCCCTGGCACTGAGCCATCCCCCTTTTCCTGAAAGATTAACGATCCAATGTGATGGGGGACTTGATGAAGAGTTTAAAAAAAGGGCACAATCCTCTGTGATACATCCTGTCCCAAATCAGTTTAAGTCCCTCGTGGTAATTAATAAGGCAACGGTAGGAAGGAGGTAATTGCATTCCAATTTTGCAGAAGTCATGCAAAAAGGACCTGAATGAGTTTGCTAAAAATACACTTAATAGGCAAAAACCTGGCCTCTCAGAAGGAAAGAGCATAATGGTGTGTTCATTCCCACACCTCCCACTCCTGTACTGGGGGTGCTCCAGTGCTCCAGCCAGACCAGAGCTGGCCACCAACCTCCCAGCAAGCCAGGGACAGCTTTCCAGCAAAACGCCTGGAAAAGAACTCAGCCCCATTTTCCATCCCAGCAAACAGGGGCCCTGCACAGAGGCCACATTCCAGCTGTGGAAAGTCTCATGTTAAAGGTTTGCAGTGGCCATCAAATGCCACATTTCCAGAGCCTGCTGAGAACATCCACTGGCGGCTCCTCAGCCATGAGATAAATAAAAATATGAGTTTGTGGATGTGAAAAAAGGCCCTGAGATGCTTCTCCACAGCGTGGGGAGGGTGAGGGGGGGTCCTACTCCTCTGCCCCCCACCTGCAGAGCTGCCTCCAGCCCTGGAGTCCAATATCAGGATGTGGAGCTGCTGGAGCGAGTCCAGAGGAGGCCACGGAGATGTTCCGAGTCCTTCAGCTCTGGAGCCAAACTGGGAGAGCTGGGGGGTTCACCTGGAGAAGAGAAGGCTCCAGGGAGACCTGAGAGCCCCTTCCAGGGCCTAAAGGGGCTCCAGGAGAGCTGGAGAGGGACGTGGGACAAGGGATGGAGGGACAGGACACAGGGAATGGCTTCCCACTGCCAGAGGGCAGGGAGAGATGGGATAGTGGGGAAAAGTATTTTACAATCAGGGTGGGGAGGCCCTGGCACAGGTTGCCCAGAGAAGCTGTGGTTGCCCCTGGATCCCTGGAAGTGTCCAAGGCCAGGCTGGATGGGGTTTGGAGCAACCTGGGCTAG